TCTCATTCTGTCCCTTTCCCATGGGTAACTGTTATGTTTTTGTTTTCAAAGTTTAATTCATTTCAGTTTCTTTTCTACATATTCACCCTCCTCTCTTTGTATAAATAGGAGCATAATAGTAAATGATCTCCTGTGCCTGGTTCTTTCCTCCATAGTGGTAGAGATTGTCATCACCTCTTTTTATGGCTACACAGCACTCCACCATGTGGATGTACAGTTTATTTGGTCAGTCTCCTGCTGGTCGACATTTACATTGTTTTCAGTCTTTTACTGTTAGAAATAATGCTGCATTGAGTAGCTCTGTGCCTACATCATTTAGCATTTTTGTCAGTGAATTTTGGGACAGGTTCCTAGAATTGGGTTTGTTATAGGTCAAAGGGAAATGCTAAATATGATTAAATTAGATATTAACAGATTCCTAGCATGTCCGAGAGAGTGTTCCTTACAAGCTTTGCAGTAGAGTCTGGTGTCATACTTTAGGGTTGTTGTCAGTTTGTTATTGTGGTGAGCTTTCAGTTTGAAAAAATAAATTTTTATTCTGGGCGAGGTTAAGCAAATTTCCATTGATGGAATGGCAATTTGCTATACTGGTTTTTTGGTGGTTGTGGGTTTTTTTGTTTTTTTGGGGGGGTTATCTTTTTTTCGCCTACTTTTCTTAAGGTTGTTAATCTTTTTCTTTCCGACTTAGAGGGACTTTTTATAATGGATATTAATAAATTGCCTGGAATATAAGTTACAATTGAATATTTTCCAGTTTGCTTAACTCTTCTAAATTTCCTTGTAGTGTTTTTAGCCATGCAATAGATTTTTGTTTTTACATAGTCACATCATGGAAGTGTTTTCCCTCTTACTGCTTCTTGATTTGATTCCTAGGTAGGAAAGTTTTCCTCATTCTGAAGTTAGGAAGAAACTCATGGTTTTTGTTTTGTTTTGTTTTTTTTTTTAAGTGTTCTCATGATTTTATTTTTTATATTTAGCACTTCTTCGTTTGCTTTTTATGCTGGTATATGTTGTGAGGAAAAGACCAGTTTTATCTGTTTCTGTCTATTTCAATTGCTCAAATATTGTCAATAAATCCATATTTTGCCCTATTGAAATGATACACCATCTTTATCATATATTAAAGTTTTGTATGTGCTTGGGTAATAGATTTCTGGATTTCTGCTTTATTTCATGTTTACTTGCAAATATTACACTTTCTAGTTATAGACATTAACACTGTCTTTATATCTGGTAGAGCCTCATGCCCAGATCCCCTTTTAGATGTTTTCATTGCTATTCTTATATTTTTCTATGTGGATATAACATCAACTTTATGTTTAATTGTAGGGAAGAAAAAGTATTTTAAAAAATTGAGCTTGTGATTAATTTATAAATTACTTAGGGGGAATTGACATCTTTTTCATGTTGAGCCTTCCTATCTAAGAGTGTATGCACTTTTTGTGTGTATAGTTTTGTCTCGTAAGAGTCTTACAAGTTTATCTTTGAAGGATTTGGCACATTCCTTAAATTAAAAAAAATTAATCTTTTATTAGAAACAGAGCCTTCCATTTTGTCTTTTAACTGGTAGTTACGTTAGTGACTCTTTTATGTTTTATTTCTGCTGTTTTTTTTTAAATATGTTACTGTTTTTAATAATTTTCTCATTGAATGTTTATGTCTTTTGCAGGGACCAAAAGATAATTTCATCTGTATAGAGAGATAGTTTTCGTTTTAATTCTTACACCTGTAATTCAATTCTAATAGAAATAGAATGCAAGCCGTTATATTTTAATTTAAAATTATCTGTTAGCCTCATTTTAAAAAAATCAGTCTGTTTAAATAATATTTTTATTTAACCCAGTGTATCAAGTAGATTATTTCAGAATGTGATTGGTATAACAGATTATTAAAGTATTTTATATTCTTTTTGTTGGTTTGTAGTAAGTCTTGGAAATCTGTTATACATTTTATACTTCCAGCACATTCAGTCTAGCCAGATTTCAAGTGTTGAATAGCCACATGTGGCTTGTGACAACTGTATAACACCATGCACATTCTAAATACTTTCTCTAACTGTGTTATTTAATGTCATCAAAGATTAATCTGTCAAATACATACTATTTTATAATCTACTTACTTTATCTTAACATCATTAATATGTTTCCACATCAATATTGTACCTCTACAGTAATTTTCAAAGCGCATGGTATGGTATAGATGTACCATAATAAGCCAGTTTTTTGTTTTTTGTTTGCCTATTGTTTTGCCTTTAAATATTTTATTGCACTATTGCTTTTAGTGAACATGCTTATAGCTCAATCTTTGCAATCTTTATTTCCTTTTGCTGAATATCTATAAATGCACTTGCTCTATAAAAGGGTATGTAATTTTTAAAGCTTTGGTGTATATTTTATGAATTTATTTTATGAATTTTATGAATCTTCTAATTTACTGATACTACATAACAGTGTCTATTTACCTCATGAGGCCTTTAATACTGTGTATTTATTGTCTTTCTTTTGAAATCCCTTTAGTTAAAACCCTTTAGGTAACCCTTCAGTTAAAAGTGGTATATTGCTTTGTATATTTTGATTGATAGTGAAATGTGTGTTTGGATATAAGCATCTTTTGCATATTGACAGTTCATTTTATTTATCATTTTCTATTGTGGGATTGGTCTTCTAACGTACTGATTTGTAAGACTTTGTTTTATATTAAGGAATTTGTAAGACTTTGTTTTTTTTTTTTTTTTCAAAAAAAATTTTTTTTTAAATTTTTTTTCAACGTTTATTTATTTTTGGGACAGAGAGAGACAGAGCATGAACGGGGGAGGGGCAGAGAGAGAGGGAGACACAGAATCGGAAACAGGCTCCAGGCTCTGAGCCATCAGCCCAGAGCCCGACGCGGGGCTCAAACTCACGGACCGTGAGATCGTGACCCGGCTGAAGTCGGATGCTTAACCGACTGCGCCACCCAGGCGCCCCAAGACTTTGTTTTATATTAAGGATATTAATCTGTTTTGTAGCAAATATATTTCTCCAGTTTGCCATTTGCCTTTATCTCCCTTTTTTTTAATTGTATTTTAAAGTTTATTTATTATTTATTTTTGAGAGAGAGAGAAAGCGCACACGTGCACAAGCAGGGGAGGGGCAGAGAGAAGAAAAGAGAGAATCCCAAGCAGGCTCTGTGCTCTCAGTGGGGCTTGATCCCACGAACTGTGAGATCATGACCTGAGCCGAAATCAAGAGTCGGACGCTTAACCGACTGAGCCACCCAGGCACCCCTTGCCTTTACCTTTCATATTGTTTACTTATGTACATGATTCTAAATTTTTATTTAGTGAAATGTTGGTTTTTTTATGGGATTGTGTTTTGTCTTTGGTGTAACTCACCCATCTTCCTGTGGGGTTATGGTATTTGTTCCAATACCAGCTTCACCTTGTTTTTTCTTCACTGACTTAAAATGCTTGCTTTCATAATTATTAGATGTATATAGACGCTTTATTTTCTGGTGTATATTATATTACACTTCTCTGTCCCTACAGGTTATATGAAATCTCTGGTAGGGCAGATGTTCATTTTCAGAAACATTTTGGCTGGTACTTTGGTTCTTGTTTTCTTTAAGGTGAATTTTAGCATTATTTTGTGAAGTTAAGTATCTTCTTAGCAAGAGAAAATAGAAACAAATCCTTGGCTCTTTTATTGAAACCATTTTATAGTACAGAATTTTATAGTTTGGTATTTCATAATGAATTTGTATGGTTATTGTTAAAGTTTATTTTCCTGGTCATTTGTAGTAATGTTTCTTCTGTGGAGTCGTGTAAATTTTATTTTCTAATAAGTTGTTACTTGCATATATGAATGCACCTTTTGCTTTTTGTATATGATTTTCTCTAACTCAGGTAGTCTCTTTTTATTCTATTGGATTTTCAAGGAAAATAGTCGTCTACCAGTAATTCTGTTTTTCTTCCTTTCATTGTCTTTAATTTTACTTACTAACTTCTACAGCAGTTAGTAATAATTAATGTTTTTTCTTGTTTATAACACCAAGCATTTTACTGCTAAATATGACTTGGTTGTTGGTTTGAGAGAAGGGTACCATCATAAACTTGTTTTTCAATTTTTATTTACATTCCAGTTAGTTAACATAGAGTGTAACATTAGTTTCCGGTGTACACTTTATTGACTCGGCACTTACATAGAACACCCGATGCTCATCACAAGTTCACTCCTTCATCCCCAACTTTTAAGAGTATTATTTTTTTAAGTTTACTATAAGTAAGATCTTGGCTCTGTTTTTAGTTAGGAACTGATTGTTAACTTTCTTCAGATGACTTTTTTTGGCATATTGATAGCTTATTTTCTTTGATAGATATATTGAATTTTGTCAGCTTTTCCATGAATATTTTTAGATACAGCTTTGGATTCAATTTCTACAAGCTTCAGTTAGGGTTTTTGGATCTCTTATAAGTACAGTTGTTATGTATGTGCTATGTGCTATTTTAGGTTTTGGTAGCAAGATTAAGTTGGTTTTATAAAATAAAGTTGTAATTTGTGTGCTTTCAAATGCTCTGGAGATGTACAAACAGAATTAAATTATATGTTTATTGAAGGCTTAATAGAAATCATCTAAAATCAAACTGGGCTCAGATTCTTTTCTTATTAAATACAATTCTTTTAACACTTTTAAATTTTCTTTGATGAACTGTACTGATTTTATTCAGCTTCTGCTGAGAGACAATTTGTTCAGTGTATAAAACAGTTAATTTATTTTACATTAATCACGCCCAGAAGCTATGCACTGTAGGGTTGATTTCCATATCTTAACAGTTTTCTGTTTCCTTGGGATGTTTTTATTGATTTTAAATTCAGAGAGAAAGATTAATGTTATTGAAGTCACAAAGTAGGACTTCTTTTCAAGAGATAATTTTCTTCACAGCATTTTTTTTTAAATTTTGAGCCTATAGAAAAGTCTGATGAGAACAAAAATTTTAATGTGTTAACTATTCTTGTTCTCAGGTGCATTTTATCTGGTGTTTGAATATATGGACCATGATCTGATGGGACTACTGGAATCAGGCTTGGTTCATTTTAATGAAAATCACATAAAGTCATTTATGAGACAGCTTATGGAAGGCCTGGATTATTGTCATAAGAAGAACTTTTTGCATAGAGATATTAAATGTTCAAATATTCTTCTAAATAATAGGTATGGTATGAGTCTGATATATGTGTTTCAAATGAGTATTATATAATGTATACTTTGATTCTGTTAAAAAGATTTAAAATTTATTGCTCAAGCTGTTATAACATAATCAGTGTTATTTCTGCCAGAACTGCATCTGAACATGTGTTAAATACACTTTGGTTAATTTCTGATAATAGTTTTTAGTGTACATAAAATAATACTTAATTTTCTTATTTGATATTCTTCCAGATAATGTGAATGGATATTCTTATAATTAATAATGATTTCAGCCTTAGGTTAAGAATAGTTCTAAGAATTTTTTTTAATTTTTTTTTTTTTCCCAACGTTTATTTATTTTTGGGACAGAGAGAGACAGAGCATGAACGGGGGAGGGGCAGAGAGAGAGGGAGATATAGAATCGGAAACAGGCTCCAGGCTCTGAGCCATCAGCCCAGAGCCTGACGCGGGGCTCGAACTCACAGACCGCGAGATCGTGACCTGGCTGAAGTCGGATGCTTAACCGACTGCGCCACCCAGTCGCCCCTAAGAATTTTTTTTAATTTAGAATTTGTTTTACACCAGTATCACAGTTTTAAAGTGAACTTTTTTTGAAGTGTGTATACACAGACACACACACACATATATACTTATACACACACACAAGTAGATATTTAAAGTTTATGTTAAACATTTTACTGACAGCATAACCTGAGCTCTGATAATTCTTTTCTAAGTAGTACTCCTTGTTAGTTTAAGTGAGATATGCCTGGTTCTGATTTTAGTTACTAGAAAGGGTTCTATGTACCTAGCCCCTCTAAGAATTGGAAAATTAAACATAAATTTAAAATGATACAATTTCATTCTCATGCTTTACTGATTTGATTTGAACAAGTAATATGTCTTAATACTGAGTAGCAACAATAATCTCATTTTATTTTCATTGAAGTGTACTTGTCTAAATAGGAACTAACTAATACTAAAATACTGTTAATACTAGTACAATAATAGTAATAGTTGTGGTGGTACTAGAATAATAGTAGCTGAAATTGTCAAAGGAAAAGTACTGTTTGTTGTTGTTTTTACTTGTTTATCTGTTTACCTTTCCTTATAGGACTTGGGGTACTGCTGTGTGATCACTGTTAAAGTTTATATAAGTATATTTTTTATTAGTTCTAGGAATAGAATATGAATGTGTATGATAGGATTAGATATCTATGAATACGTACAAATATGTATGATTTCAGAGTAGACTAATAGTTTATGTTCATTTTGTCTTCCACCAGAGGGCAAATAAAACTTGCAGATTTTGGACTTGCTCGATTGTATAGCTCAGAAGAAAGGTAAGAGTATTTTCAAATGAGTATTATAGACAATAGAGACCAGTTTTAAGGACAGCTTATTGATAGTTTATTTTTTCTTAAGAAATAAACATTTTTAAGAAAAGGGAAATATACTATACTTTTCATTGTTAAATACATGAAATAATATAATTTCATACCATATTGGGATTGACTGTTTTAATTACAAATTTTATGTATTTATCTCAATTTAAAAATAATTGTTTTTTTGGCACTTTAGAGGTAAATAAATTTTTTTTTGAAATGTGTCATTTTAAATGTATCTTAAGTGCAGATCCAGATATTAAGATGTTGGTGATTTTTGTGTTTAGTGAAAAATATTAGTACAGTATGTGCTTTTTTTATACTGCATGTTTAAGCTCACAAATTTTGTTTTAGTTATTAATTTGGATTCCTTTTTTTAAAAACTCAAGTTTTATATATAGTTATGTTTGTTGTAAACTCTCTAGAGCCTTTTATTTAAACTATTGTGAGAAAGTTCCATTGTATTAACTCTTCTCTGTATGGAGCTTCCCTGGCTGCACTTGGGACGTGTATCTCATTTTGGCTCCTTTGGGCCTGGTGGTAGTGAAATAGGACTTGCCTCATTAGAACTAATATGTGGGAGTCTGGCTGGCTCAGTGGGTGGAGCATGGGATTCTTGATCTCGGGGTTGTAAGTTTAAGCCCACTCTGGGTACAGAGATTACTTAAAAAGAAAATCTTAAAAAAAGAAGAAAACTAATATGGAATTTCAAAATAAATTATTTTTGTCAAGTAGTGGATTTTATATAAATATTCTATGGAATTAATTGGGTTTAATCTATCTCTAGTTTGGTCTATTTCTTTCCTATCAAACAGCACTGTTTCTTTATTTCCAGATATATATTCTGAAATACTTTATGCTTGACAATTCTGTAATTTCTTTAGTGCAACTATAATTTAATCTAATTAACAAAAGTTAATTAGAATTCTCAGAAATAGGTACTTTCACTGAATGTTGGCCAGTTTCTGGTTGGTTGAAAAAAATCTCTTTGAATTTTTTACAGTGAAAATTTATTTCTTTTTGAATCTTGCAGTGTCTGTTATGTCATTCTGAAAATTATTTTCATTGTTTAGTGCGGAGAGGTTTTTAAATGGTGTGTTTTGGACCCATCAGAATTCATTAAATCCCTCAGAAACTATGGTATGGACCAGTTGTTACAGACCTACTTTAAAAAGGCAGAGCTTTTTGGCTTTTGTTGTTTTACGTGCCATACTTCTAATTAATATTTTATTTTAAGAAAGAGTCGTAGGATTTATTTTAAGTTTGAAACTTTTCTAAAGCCTTAAAAGCTGTAACCCTCATCTTGCATTTGAGAAAACTGAGCCCTAGAAAGGGTTGAGTTAAAGATAAAAAAATATTTGTTGGCAGAGTCCAGAGTATATGTAGTTCAGTTTCCAACTCCCAATTTTTTATTTTTTCTATCACCTATAATAGTGCCTCTTGGTAGAAATTGAAGAAAAAATAAACTGGCCAAATATGCACTTAATCCAAAACTTCTCTTGGGAGTATATTTTTTGAGTAACTAAATTTCGTTGACTATTCTTTATGGGGAAGTTCTATTTAATTAAAGATTCTGTCCTCTTAGCTGGTTTTTTGAGATTTCACTGTAGTTTCAAACATCCTTTCTTAATACAAGTATATGTTTTTGTCAAACTTAAATGTAAATCACTTTCTTCTTGATTTCATGTTAGGTTTCAGTAGAGATGGAGAACAGCTATATTACCATTTTTTGTCTTATTTTCATGTTTAGTGAAAAATCTTAGTATAGTATATGCTTTTTATACTGTATGTTTAAGCTCATAAATTTTGTTTTAGTTATTAATTTGGACTTCCTTTTTTTTAAAAAAACCTCAAATTTTATATATAGTTATATGTTTGTTGTAAACTCATTAGAATCTTTTATTTAAACAAACTATTGTGAGAAAGTTCCACTGTATAATTCATTTCATGTTGATATTTATTCACATTAGAATAGATATGTTCCAGAAAAATGGACTGTAAAGTCAAGTTTTACCTATCAAAATACATTTTCTAATTTATTTTACCTTTTAAAAATGGAGTGTTGGGGGGTGCCTGGGTGGCTCAGTCGGTTAAGTGTCCGACTTCAGTTCAGGTCATGATCTCACAGCTGCTCATGCGTTGAACCCCTGCGTCGGGCTCTGTGCTGACAGCTCAGAGCCTGGAGCCTGGTTCAGATTCTGTGTCTCCCTCTCTCTCTCTGCCCCTCCCCTGCTCATATTCTCTCTCTCTCTCTCTTTCTCTCTCTCTCTCTCTCTCTCTAAAAAATAAACGTTAAAAAAAATTTTTTTTAAATGGAGTGTTGGGTTTCAGGGTAGTGCCAAGGGTGTGGTGTGTTCACTGAGCCGGGGTCCCCATTGCTGTACTGAATTGATACAGGAATTTTGAGCTTAGAAAGGTAGGAAGTTTAAAATTTGCATCTTCTGGTAATGTGTAGTAAATGTTTCTGCTTACCCAATTTTCGTAAGATAAAACCTTTTGGTGTATTGTTTTGTAAGCAAAGTTTTTCAGGGGCTTATGTACTCCCTTACAACTTTTCTTTTTCAGATTTGAATAATTCTAATTTAAGATCAGAGTAGGCTTAATTTTAATGGAATGACTTTAAAATATATATATTGTTATAGTAAATTTTAATAACCTACCAGTTTCTAACATACTGCCTTTAGCAGATTTACTAGTGTTCCAACTTTTCTAGATATTTTTAAAAATAAACATACCATGATATTTCATTCATACTTCTTTGTTATTATAAGCAGGAATAAAAGTAAGGCTTTACAGTAATAACACTCATCCAAATGTTAAATCACTTTGAAGTGTTTTCTAAGTAACTAGCTATTACAGATAGAATAACTGAAGTGTTCAAGAAATTATTGCAAGGTTTTTTTGTTCAGAAATTGAGCACATTTCAGCTTACCAGTGTAATAGCTTCAACTACATTCTCTCTCACTTGGTTTCCGATATCTTTTTTGAATTTGGAGAACTGGATGGAATTCTCTCTAGTACTTAGGAATTGAACATGGGAGGTGATGTGACCATTGTGGATCTCCTCTGTCACGTGTGCTACAGTAGAAGAAAGAACCACTGAGTTAAAATTAGGGTGAAAATGATTCCTTTAAACTTGAAAAATCCTTTTCTCATTTTGGGAAATATAGAACTTGAGAACAGAGGGTTTTGCCCATTTCTTTACACCCATTCATTTTTTTCAGTAGCTATTTTAAGATCAACTTTTCCTGAAACTTTTAGCCATGGTAATATACCCACTTCTGAGTTTTTATTTTACCAAGTCATTGCTCCATTGCTTTCCCAAATGATGGGATATCTTTTTCTCTTTATGTGACTGTCCCATGTGAATAAATATATGCATCAGGAAAACTTTGGTTCTAGTCCTGGCATTTCCATTTATTTAAGAAGTTAATCTTGGGCAGGTCACTTAATCTCTCTATATTTCATTATTCACAACTTTAAGATGAAAGATTTTGTTTTATAAAATTTTTTTATTTAGAGAGAGACAGAGAGAACACACGCGTGCAAGTGAGCAGGGGAGGGGCAGAGAGAGAAAATCCCAAGCAGGCTTCACGCTGTCAGCACAGAGCCTGACGTGTGCCTCGAACTCACAAACTGTGAGATCATGACCTGAGCCAAAACCAACACCCAGACGCTTAATCGGCTGGGCCACCCAGGTACCCCAAGATGAAAGATTTAAAATCTCTAAAATCCTTATTTAAAGTATATTGAAAAACCCATCTTTTATGGTTCTAAGAGTTAGCGTAATCAAAATAAAAGTTTCTTAAACATTTTTAAAGGTAATATCACCATCTAGTGGCTTTTCATAAAATTGCCATTAAAAGCAAAATTAAATTTTTCCAAAGCTAAGTATCAGTGGGAAAGGGAGAAAGTATTACCTCTTGCAGCTTGTCCAAGGACTAGATGAATTTATATTCAGGACATACTACTTGTGTTCTTGTCTTTTCAGTCAAGCTAGAATTGTAGTCATCTTAAAGACAGAGACCATATTTTAAACTTTTATGATTTTTATGCCCTAAACTGTAAAACACATTCACACTAACTGCTTGATTAATTCTGATCCAAGAGACCAACATTCTGATCTGGAGGACCTTCCTGATAGAGATTAGTGCAGGGAGCTCTGGGGACTACAGATACCCAGAGTACTTCTGGGAGATCCTGGGCCAATATTAGGACCATAGTAATAAAAAGATGGCTAATAACATATTAATAACAATAAAAAATGTGGTTAAACAAGCTTTAGGAATGGAAATCTCATTTAGATTACTATCCTAACCATATGATCCAGATTAAATTGTACTTCCTTTGGCCCTAATGGAGTAGCTTACATTTTTGAGCATATAAAATGGGAAAGGCAGTTTAATTATCTGAAGTATGGTGTTCCCCCTCTTCATGTAGGGCAAATTTCATGTATTCCCTCAATGCTGAAGATTTACAAATTTCTCTTTCTTTCTCTTGATCTTTCTTTTGATCTCAACCTGTACTGGACATAACTGCACAACTCCACCTAGGTGGTGTAGGTGCTTTAAGTTAAACATACTGTACAAAGCCCGTCTTCGTATTTCTAGAAAAAAAGTTTGCTCTTTTCCTTTATTCCCCATTTTAGTTGAAGGTATCAGTCACTCTCACATATAGATATGTCTCCTATAGACCACTGCATGTAGAATTGTATTGGTTTTCTTGCCTCTGGGCTGTTTCCCTAACATTCTTTTCCTTCTGCCATTCTTATCAACTGCTGTCCCCTGCCCCCCAGATAGTAGCAATGTCAACTCTTTGTAGTTCCCTTAAACAGGTTAAGCTCTTGAATGCCTTTGTGAGTCTACATAAGTTGTTTCCTTTGTATGGAATTATACTTTCCATTATCTGAGTCTGACGTTTGTTTTTTTTGAAAAATTTATCCTGAATCCTACAGTCAT